GATCAAAGTTTCTCGAAATGAGCTGGTTTGCAGAATTTGAGCTATTGAAGTCCGTCGATAGTCGCGCTAGGCGTACCAAACCTTTTTTAAGTCATATTGCTTTGAAGAGACTATTTACTATAGTGTGTACTATAATATAGTGTGCGCTGTACCACTGCTTTTTATCCATTTCCTTCTTCCTCGATTATGTATGTTTACCTTCAGATGTTCAACGGTGTCTAGCGGACTTCGGATCATTAACAGCCTCAACAACATTCCCAGGCGAAACAGTGGTGGAACTTTTGGATTCGGCATCAACCTACACTGAAGTGAAACTGATTGTCAGGTTGGTTTGGTTGTTCAGCACCGCCTCGCTACTGTCTTTTTTTGAAGTTAGGGTTAAAAGCTCCGAATTCGCTAGGAACTTATGACCACTGTTGCGTCGACAAAATTTAATCAGTAATTTCGGTTATTTGGTCCTCCAACCCTCTCGCTTCCTCCTCCACCACTCTTCCTTCTGGATGTCTGTTTGGCTGCGTAGGAAATCATGAGCCTCGAGCGCTCTTCTTCACGTGTTTGAAGTCTTGAAAATGGCAATAACATTATGGATCGTTAGACCTTCATGGAAGAGATTGGTCCTCTCAGTGCGCTTGTGGATTGTACCGTTACCATTCTCTCATTATTGTGGGGTCTAGGTACTGCAGCAACTAGAGAGAGAACTTCACACCTCTTTGATTGGATCTCGTCCAACCGCCAAAATCCTTCTTTCCTCCTATAAAGTCAATTTTTTCTCTGATTCTGACTAGTTTTGTCATCGTATAGAGCAGCTGCCCTCGCATTCCTAAGTAAGTTGCTCGTGAAGCTTACCTGAACAGCGTGGTGATACAAGGTCAGTATTACTGGTACAGTTTTTTCTGTTTCCTTTCTAATAATCCGTTTTGAAAAATTGTGGGATAGTCTCGTTATAAAGCTCTAAAATTCGCTTGCAGGACATTCGATGTGGATTGTCGGCCGAGAACATCCGGCGGAGATCCACTGGACGTGCGGCTTCGATTTGACGACAGTTCGCTGCCAATTTCTGTTAACGATCTCAACGATGGCACTTATGAACTGTCCTTCAGGTAGATTCAGAACGAATGTTTGTTTTCTTGTTGTTTATTTTGGTTTCTGTTTTGTACTTTATAATGATTGTGAGCTTGCTCTCTACCGTATTAGCGATGCAATCCTTTCAGGGTACAACAGTCGGGCGATTATGTGGTTGACGTGGACATCTTCGGTCGTCCAATAAAAAATAGCCCATTTCCCGTCTCGGTTTCGTCGCACCATATGCCTAAGTGAGCCATTTCTTGAAATCATACAAAAACTTTTCCTCATAAAGGAGGACACTTGGGTGACAACGTTTCAAGTAACTTTCTCCTGATGCTGCCTGGTCTAGAAGAGGAGCACTCTTCGCCTCAGGCTGGAGTCTGGGTGACGCTTTCCTGGGGCGAAGAGTCTTGCTCATAACCCAGCATTCTTGAGAAAACTTTCCCGTGGAGGAAAGCTGCTAAAAATAGCAGTTGACGAGGAAAAGCAAGCCTTTTCTATTCGTCGTACGCAAGAAAATCGCGTGGCGACCAGCTTGGACAATAAACTGCTGCTAGATCTTGGTAAAATGTAT